AAGCTGCACCTGCATACTCGTGATGGACACAATGTCCGGCTGCACAAAATGCTGCACGTCCCCAGCTCGGGCCTCACCCTGACGTCTGTCACCTCGTGAGAGGTCGACAGACCTCATGACACGCGGCTACTCGGTCACGTTCAGCATGGACAAGACGGGCTGCTGGTTCTCATGCATCAGCCTCCTGCACAACAGCCCGTCTATAACCCCATGGAGTGAGCGTGGGCACTATGCATGGACGTGGACCTGCAGGCGCCGACCGACGTCACCGTCAATGCCCTCAGCACCACGGGCGACAGAGCTGGCAGGGGCCAGGCCGCAGGTAGCAGCGCTGGCGGAAGTGCCACCACCATCACCAGCACACGTGGCGGCAGCACCGCCGGCAGCCACACCGGTGGAGGCCAACCGAACGGCGACAGCAACGGCAAAGGGCAACCAGGCAACGGCAGCCCCGGGGCCACTGAATGCTCAGTTGCCGAACTTGCGGCAGCACAGCGCCTGCACTGCCAGTACGGTCACCTCGGTTACCGCGTGCTGAAGCAGCTGATCAGCAAGCAGCTGGTGCAGGGGCCACAGGTCACTCCAGCGGCACTATGACAGGCGGTGGAGGCCGTCTGCGAGGCCTGTGTCACCGTGAAGGCCACCGCAACCGCCCACCCCAGCCGCGGCAACCAGCCGTAGCACGCACTGGAGGTCGTACACTCTGACCTGTGCGGGCCCATGCCGACCATGGGCCGAGGGGGTGCACGCTACTTGCTGACGCTGCTGGATGGTGCCACCGGTCTGTCCGCCGTCCGCACGCTGGCCAGCAAGAGCCAATGGGCGAAGTGCTGCAGGACATGGTGACACAGCTGGAGGCCCGCCACCCGAACCACGCACGGGTACACACGCTGCACAGCGACAACGGTGGTGAGTACGTCGCCAAGCAACTGGAGCAGTGGCTGCGCCAGCACGGCACTGCACACACCCACTCGGCGCCGTACACCCCAGAGCAGAACGGAGCGGTGGAGCGACTCAACCACACACTCTTCGACCGTGTGCAGGCGATGCTGCATGACACAGCACTCCCGGTCAGCTACTGGCTGGAGGCTGCACTCTACACCAACCTCCTGTGCAATGTGGCCCCTCTCAGGGCCGGGAGGCCACACCGAGGGAAGCTTATCACGGCGTCCCCCCCGACGTCAGCCACCTCCACACCTTCGGCTGCCTGGCCTACATCCGCATCCCAGCCAGCCAGCAGGACAAACTCAGTCCTCGTGCAAAGGCGGGAACCTACCGCTGACCGGAGCACGGCATGGCCACCCACCGCGTCCTCGTCGAGGGCAAGGTGACCGTGAGCAGCGACGTCACCTTTGATGACGACCACCACGGCCCGGTTCACAACAGGCGGACACCCTCTTCGGCACTAGCCCCGCCTGCCCTGGCGGCAGGGACACTATCGGCGGCTCTACACCGCCCGCCATGCTGCCGACCCCAGCGGCTACCCCGCCCCCGGCGACCCCAACAACGCCCCTTCCATCGCAACACCCGCAGTCAATGGCAGTCCCTGCACATGCCGCAGCCCCGGTCAGTGACGGCCTGCCAACCCGACAGCAGCAGCAGTGGCGGCGGCGGAGAGTCGGGAAGTCCACCGCTGCTCAGGTGGTAGCGCTGACAGCGCTAAGTCTAACATGCCCGATGGCAGCGGCGGTGGCGGAGGCAACAGCGCGGTGCACACTGCCAACGACATGCTGGTGACGGCGGACAACCTGCAACCTGCCCAGTTTAAATAGGGGGGACTAACGGCTCACCTCGACTGTAATCACAAATTTAGATGCTTAATTCTCCATACTGACATTCTCCTTACACTTCGTCAATTGCTTATACTTTACTGTTGCAACAACTAGCAATGTGTGGGCAATTTGCACTGTACGACCAATGCAAGAAAACAAACCGTTTCAATCATTGGAAAAGGCACACAGCCCACATGCTTGCTAATGCCAGCCGATAAAAACTTTCGCCTAAAGCTTTCCAAGAACAAGGGGCAGGAGAGAGGGGAAAGTGCGGGGAAGTGGGGCGGCAGCCCCACGACCCCGCACATCCCCCCCAAGACCACCTGGCCACCGACAGGCAATCATGATAGGGATGAGCGGGAGCCAAAGGAAACATTTAAAAGCATGATTTACTACCTTTATATGTTCTTGTTTCCAGTTCGGCGGTTCATGAGCCTCTTGGCTCGTTTGGACCGTACAAGCTCGAAGCTTGTAACACAAAAACGTCAAAACGTCAAACTGCATATACAGATTTTCACGAGCATTTGATTAGATTTCTAGACATAAATTATTCTACATGAATGAATGACATGGACTATAGGGTGTTTCGCATGCAGGATTGTATGGCATGAAGAACGTAGGCGGAGTAGAAAGCGATCTCACCGACAGCAAGGATGATTATCAAACCATCGAAATGTGTTGCTAAGGAAGTTGTGGAATTGGACATCGTAGCACTACCTGTAGAGATAATCTGATCGCACAGCACGAAAGCGACTTTGTATTGTAAAAGATTGCAGAAAGCCTAATAACTGTGTTCATTTGCAAAGCCGGTAGAAGGCGTAGTAATAAGCTCGACGACTAATATCGAAGCGCGCGAAAATGACTAGGGAGAATCTCCGACGAGTGCCTTATACGACAGAGATCACGGTTTGCAGCTCAAAAAATAGGGGGGTCCTTGTGAAGCAGCTGCCCGCGTTTCCAAAGCCCGTATGGTGTTGGATTGTAAGGTGCCCAAGTACGTTTGCGCGGAAGAGAATGTGGCCAGGCTGGAGAGGAAAGCAGTGCCGTGGCATATTGGAATGTGAGATGAGCGTAAGCGAGTTACAGGGCGTTTTATTGCACGGGCGAATTTACGTGCAAATCTTTCACCGTAGCATCAGTCCTCAGTTCACCAGGGAACGAGCCGAAACTTGACCAGGTCTGCGGAACTTTTCGTAATCGGGAGGCCCTTTGCGGAAAGGCTGCGGAAACTGCGGAAAGCTGCGAAAACTATAAAATGAATATGTAACGATGTTTTTTAGCTCTTCTCAGTGTGGCGATAACATGGACAGTCTGAAACCAGCTTGTGGCAGTGCGGTTCTGTCCGGTGGGATCTAGAATCTGGTGGATTCCAATCGTGCTCGAAGGTAGAGCCATCTAAACGTATTACTGGGGGTGGCGGGGGCCAAGCGATCAACTATTGTGTGCCCACACCCTTGACGGTGTTCACCCTGCCCCCTTCAAGCAGCCCGCCTCTCTTTGAACCCTGAGACCCCAGGCCTGAGCAGCCCTATCGTATACCACCCCCATAGTGTTGTTGGCTGACGGATTGCTCTGGGATGCTCAGAAATTGCCACTCGTATGTTACATGGGGTAAGGGCCCGAGGAGCCCTGAACCACTGAATAATAATCGTCTCCCTGTCCGTTGCGGAGCAGTGACATGTCTGCATGCCTACTCCACATACCCGTCCGGCATGTCTCCATGCCTCACGGACAAGTCTATGCTGACTGTGCATTAATTCAGTAATCGTCCAAACAATATGAATTCAAAATAAAAAAAAATCAAAAGGAATAAAAAAAAGCGAGAGGGCTAAAGTATCTAAAAATGGCACCGCACAACGATAATTACAGAGACTTAAATGCTCGCAACAACGGTGGTACGACAGCAAGTGAACTCCAACATACCGAGCATCTGCGCAATTCAGTCCCTCTCTCTCAATATCATTTTAACGTCTCTTCGCTAAGGTAGCGAGTAGAGACAACCAAGAGCCAGCCAAACTACACCGACCCACCGGAGCCAAGAAACAACGAAGCGTACCCAGTAATGGAAAACGAGGTATGAAATTTGTTTCCTTATTGGCCAGCCTTTGCCCAGTCATCGGCATCTGGGCCGCAAGAGCGGTGTCGGCGGGTTGACCGGCTGAGAGAAGGCGCGACTGAAGGCGCTCCTTGCCTTCGTCGGGATTTAAGCGACTAATAGCGTCTTTGTCATCTTAATTCGTGCTAGTTTTGAGCAATGGCTGATAAGGAAAACTTGCAAGCATACTGGGTCGACCGACCCATCATAACAAGCAGCGACCGACGGACCAGTTAGACACACCTAGAAGAGCGACAAGTCATCCTTGTGAATGGTTCATTGCAATGAAGCGAAGGCAGAGCACCCGTCTCAGAGCCGGACCAAGTCCATCGCATCTGACTTTCCGACCTTGTTGTTTGACTTGCTTGTAGTCGGCACCGGCGAGGCGCGTGATTGAACGCGACGGGGAGGAGATGGATCCCCCAGACAGACCGGTGAGTGGTTAGAGCGAGAGACCAGGGGGTAAAGATCACGGCAGCGCGCACCCGTGCACTCGGATCCCAAAACGCGACGCAATGCGAACTCGGCAACGCGAGAAGGATTACGTTTCCGTTTGGCGAGGAAGTACACCGGCAGCGAAGATAAACGCACTCTGCTCGACGAATTTGGACATAATATGTCGCGCGTAGAGGCAGAGACCGAACCCCCACGACCCCAACCCTAGCGACGCGGCGGCCGAATTTCTCTCAGCGACGCGAAACCGAGACACGCAGTAACGCCCCACTTGACCACCTTAGGGATTAGGGAGTAACCTTTGGCGGTACTCTTATGCGTGACGAAAGTCGACCCCCTTCGCGTTTCCTTCGGGAGCTGCTGCCACCTAGCGTTAGAGGTCACCCCTCCCTTAGCGACGGCGGCAGGTTTCACCTAGAGAGTTAGAAGTCGGCACCCTTAGAGGGTTGGGGCCGATTCCATAGCGAAGGGGAGACTGACCCTCCTAGCGAGCAAGGACGGATTCCTTAACGGGTAGAAGCAGATGTCCCCTAACGAGTGGGGCTGATCCCCTTGAAGGCGGACCCCCCAACGATTTGTGGCTGACCACTTGGCGAATTAGGGCTGACCCATAGCGAATTGTGGGCCGATCCCCCTAGAGAGTTGGAGCCGATCTTCTAGCGAATTGGAGGCCGATCCTCCTAGCGATTCGGGGCCGACCCCATAGCGAATTGGAGACTGAACCTCCTAGCGAGTTGCGCTGACCCCCTAGCGAAACGGAGGCTGATTCCTCCTAGCGAGTTGGGGCTATTCCCCTAGCGTTATTGGAGGCTGATCCTCCTAGCGAGTTGGGGCTGACCCCCTAGCGAAACGGAGGCTGATCCTCTTAGCGAGTTGGGGGCTGACCCCCTAGCGAATTGGAGGCGGATCCTCCTGGCGATTTGGGGCTGATCCCCGAGCGAATTGGAGGCTGACCCTCCTAGTGATTTGGGGCTGACCCCCTAGCGAATCGGAGGCTGATCCTCCCAGCGAGCTGGGGCTGATCCCCTAGCGAACCGGGGCTTATCCTCACAGCGATTTGGGGCTGACCCCCTAACGAATGGGAGGCTGACCCCCCCTTAGCGAGTGGGGCTGACCCCTAGCGCATCGGAGACAGACCCTCCTAGAGAGCTTGGGGCAAATCGTCCCCTCCAGCAAGTTGGCAGCATCACTTCCCAGCGAGCCAGGCGCTGACCATGTTAGTGACCGGAAGCCGACACCCCAGCGAGCCAGAGACCTCATCATAGCGAGTCAGAGGCAGACCAGACAATGTCCGGCGGAATCCTTACACGATTTGCGCCAAGATATCCGGCGACCTAGACTCGGCATCACGAGATATTATCAATAGCGAGGCAAGGCGGAGACCTAGACCAAACCCGCGGCACCTCCACCATCTTCCGTCCCTACAGGAAACTGACATGCGCGCACCACAACTCCTACCACCGGACCAACAAGCAGCCACCCAGGGACCGGATTCGGGAAATTCCCGCCAAGCCGAACCCCTGGGAGTGCCTCGCGGCCTAGGGGGAGGGTCACCCCTGCGCATGCCGTCCGTCCAGCTGCTGGGATCGCCGACGGCACGTTCACCAGCCGCCAGGCGACAGCGTCTAGATACCCCGGGAAGAGCGCAAGCCACAGGCGCGAGGGCGGCGGTCGACCTCCTCACCGCGTGGGAAGCAGCGACATTCCAGGCCGACCGGAACCCTACCCCACGGGACCTGTTTGGCCTGAGAACCCTAAACCCACTAGCGGCGCCACCAGCAGGTCAGCCCCCGGCGACGGCAGATGAAGACCTTGGGGCAGCGGGCTCCCAGCCATCGGCCGCAGACGCAGCAGGGCGGCAAGTCCGGCGACTGGTGCAAATCAACCTATGCCACCAGATCCTCCACCAGCACGGGCTAGAAGGGCTGCTGGCGGCGCACGCCGCGGGCATGCTAGACCTGGAAAGCACCAACCTGACTTCGAGGCTCGGAAACGCGCCAGTAGGCGGTAGACAGTTACACGAGCCCTCGGGGCCCCGGTTTCCCACCTCTCTGGAGGAGAGACAGGTAGCCCGGCCCCCGAGTCTGCCCGCGAACGAGTACCTGAGCAGCGGCGCCACGGAGCGGGATGGCCACCCCGCACCCGAGGCTGGTGTTTGGCGTACCGCCGGCGTAGTGGCCCCACCCTACCCCGTCGAGGAACGCCAGGAGTACCCAGCATTGGCGAGACAACGCGAGAGCAGCGATCTACACCCGGCAGCGACAGGCCACCTCAGCTGGGAAAATATGGGCATTCCGTTCGCCCCGAAACGCGCAACGTAAACGGTAGCCCACCCAGCGCCAGCGCCGGGCCACTGGAGCCAAGCGGCAGAATCAGACGGTTTGCCCCAGCCGGGGGGTAAACTTCTCCTTGGGAACGTGCTTTTTGGACCGATAGAATCCGACGCCCGAGGCATGACTACCCGTAGGATCGTGCAGATGCCAGCGCTGCAGCACCTACAACCCCCGCCCATGGGATTGGGAGGCAACCCTGGTCGCCTGGCCGCCCAGGCAGCAGCGGTAGCGGTGGAACGCCATCGGGAGACCTTAGTACGCGCGAACGCCAACTTGGGAGGCACCACAAATACCCACATCCTGGCAGACGCTATTGTGGGCGGTGTACTGATGTCATTGGGCAGCAGAGCCCCGCTTACAAACATCGCGGCGGCGGTGGAACAAGTTATCCGGGGGGTAGGGGAGCTCCTCATCCGACAACTCAAGACAGCGCTCTCAAGCCCGTTGGGGCTGTCGTACGCCCAGTGGATATCGGAGCGCCTCACTACGAAGCTTCACGCGCTGCTCGCCCCTTTGACCACGTATGCCGCGACCTACGACGCGGACATCTACACGGTCAGCAACATGCTGGCCACCTTACTGGGCGGGTTAGAGTTGGCCGACTGCGCGTTAAGCCTGCTGAAACCGAATCACCCCCAACTGGGGGCAGCGCAACGAGCTTGGCTACTGGCCGCGGAAAACGAGGTCACCAGAGACGCCATTTGCGAAGCAGATATGACGGAGGCAATGTGGGCGAAAGGCTACGGCCCACAACTGGGCTGTCTTTGGCGCCTGCTGGAACGGGTGGACGATACGGTCAGACTTCTGCGATCAACTCTCGCCAACGCAAAATTCCAAAGCGGTTGGCAAGAGAGCCAAGCTGGGGGCTCACGCACCCAGGACAACCCCGGGGGTGGGGCGATGAGCGGAGGCCAGGCGGCAGGTATGAGAAGCAGCGTCGGCAACGGGCCAGCGGGGGAAGAGGGCCGGCAGGGCGGGGGCCGCCGAAACGACGCCCTAGCGGGACGCGGCAGGCAAGGGCCCGCGCCGTGGCAGGCGGCCTTCGACGCAGTGAGAGACGAGCTCGGGAGGCGCAACCTCCCGGCAGAGCTGTGCCCGGATAGCGACACTTTATTCCGGACGGCCAAGTCCCTTCGCCCGGCGATTTGCTGCAACGTGGCACTCCTGGGAAAGCAATGCCCTATGGGCGGCCCCCCAGGCTGCAAATTCGTGCACGACGACCTCCAGCGGACTGTAGGGCGCTTGGTGACTGAGTTGGCGACGAAGAGACAGGCAGGGCCCAACTCGAGCGGGAATAAGCGGACCTTGGTGAATTAGTTCGGGAAGCTAAGGCAGACTTAGCGTTAGCACACCTTGTGCTGTGGTTCGAATGCGCGATTTGTGGGCGTTAGAGCTTGAGAGTCAGGCCGCGGTACCTCGTGGCTACCGTTAAGACCTAGTAAGGCGCGGACGTTTATGTGGTTGTTATCCTTGACCTGACTGCAGACGGCGATTGGGAGTAGCGACTGCCCGGAGCGAGCGCGAAAAGGAACGCTAGGCATTGACCCCAGTCGGATCGGATCGGACGAGGGATCGCGCGGAACAGAAGGTGAACCCGAGACAAAAACCCTAACTCTCGAGCTAGACGGCGAGGACGCTGGCACTTGGTGCGACCCGGAAGAAGACGCGCTGCTGTTGTTCTTTAAGAAAGTGCCGGTCGCCAACAACCCCCAGACTGAGATCGCGTTGCCCGCGCCACCAGAGACGGACCTACCACGCGCAGCAGAACAGCTGAACCGGGCATGGCTCGGTATCACCGCAGCAACACTGGCTGAGACCCCGGACACGCAGCTGATGCAGGAAGCGACGTTCGAACAGGAAGTACGAAGTGCAGCTCGAGACCCAGCCGATTTC